TCCCTTGGGTAAATTCCTAGCAGTGCTATTGCTGGGTCATAGGGTAGATTTATTTTTAATTTTTTTGAGGAACCTCCACACTGTTTTCCAGAGTGGCTGCACCAGTTTGCATTCCCACTGACAGTGCAAGAGGGTTCCCGTTTCTCCACATCCTTGCCAGCATCTATAGTCTCCTGATTTGTTCATTTTAGCCACTCTGACCGGTGTGAGGTGGTATCTGAGTGTGGTTTTGATTTGTATTTCCCTGATGAGGAATGATGTGGAACATCTTTTCATGTGCCAGTTGGCCACCTGGATGTGTTCTTTAGAAAAGTGTCCATTCATGTCTTCTGCCCATTTCTTCACTGGATTATTTGTTTTTCAGGTGTGGAGTTTGGTGATGTCTTTATATATTTTGGATACTAGCCCTTTGTCTGATATGTCATTTGCAAATATCTTTTACCATTCCGTTGGTTGCCTTTTAGTTTTGTTGATTGTTTCCTTTGCAGTGCAGAAGGTTTTTATCGTGACGAGGTCCCAATAGTTCATTTTTGCTTTTACTTCCCTGGCCTTTGGAGACGTGTCAAGTAAGAAATTGCTGTGGCTGAGGTCAGAGAGGTTTTTTCCTGCTTTCTCCTCTAGGGTTTTGGTGGTTTCCTGTCTCACATTCAGGTCCTTTATCCATTTTGAGTTTATTTTTGTGCATGGTGTAAGAAAGTGGTCTAGTTTCATTCTTCTGCATGTTGCTGTCCAATTCTCCCAGCACCATTTGTTAAAGAGACTGTCTTTTTTCCATTGGATACTCTTTCCTGCTTTTCCATTTGGATACTCTTCCATACATTTGTGGGTCCAATTCTGGAGTCTCTATTATATTCCATTGGTCTATGTGTCTGTTTTTGTGCCAATACCATGCTGTCTTGATGACTACAGCTTTGTAGTAGAGGCTAAAGTCTGGGATTGTGATGCCTCCTGCTTTGGTTTTCTTCTTCAATATTACTTTTAAAAGCCAAAATTTTAGAAGCACTATTGAAATAAATATATCTGTGATTATGTAGTCAGTGAGAAAAATGTTTTAATTTATAATATTATCTATCAAGAAGGTTCACAGGGGAGTTAAAGGATAATGGTAATTTCTTGGCATATTTGTATCATGAATCTGAATATATGACAAATATTTTAAAAATTTTATTTTGTTTCTATATAGTAAAAACAATTTAAAAATAAACCACTGTTGGTAGGATTCTCTTATGGTCATTTAATGTATTATTTCTAAAACATTCCATTTAGCTTTCATGGAAATAATTCTTTCTTATATACCCATATGTAATTGTTTTACATAATATTTAATTGAATTTCACAATTTCAGTAGCAAGTGTAACCAGCATAAGTCTGTTTGGGAGCAAACACAGTTGATTCTTCGTAACCATCTTCTCAAAGGTAGGAGGAGAATTTGATGAGCTTGCCACAATCTGTGATTACTAGCTGTGAGCACCAAGTAATAATGGGCATCAGCTGGGATGTTTTATAGAGTGAAGTTCACCCTGGAGTTGGCTAATTGCAGATTGGTTAAGAGCTTCTGCTGTGTACATGACTTCCTAGACATAACTTCAGAAACAAGCAAACATATATAAGAATAAATATTATAAGGTAGAGAAATTAAGACACTATTTTTTTAAAAGTCAATTTGGGTTTTATTTGCCTTCTGTATGAAGTCACTTCATTCCTGCTTAATTTATTTGTGCATCTAAATGTTTTTTGAAATTATTTTGCTCTCCTTTTAACTTGGAAGATAATTTCTTATAAAATGTGGTTTGTGAAAAGATGACCTACCCATGTCTATCTATTGAGTGAATACATTACTAAAGTATAAAAAAAATCCTAAATTCTTTGTCTTATATTTAAGCTCAGAGGGTTATTGGAAACAGGTTGTACCCAGATTTTATATATTATTAAAACATTAAGTGCTTTGTACTTTGTGTCATAATTTCTCTATCTTTTTTAGAAGTCACAGCCCATTATACTGGCCTGGCGACTTCACCTGCTTCAGGGAAGGTGCACTTATTGAGACTACCTTTTCATTGTGCTCTGGTGAAGCATGATCTAGGATCTTGAGAAATCCTAGCACCTTTGGAGTGTTTTAGAGTATCTCTCAGTTTAGAGAACTATTATTTTTACAATTAGTCAGTTTTTTGGGGCGTCTGGGTGACTCAGTCAATTAAGTGTCCAATTCTTGGTTTTGCCTCAGGTCCTGATCTCACGGTTTGTGAGATTGAGCCTTGCATCAGGCTCTGTGTTGATAGTGCGGAGCCTGTGTGGGATTCTCTCTCTCCCTCTTTCTCTGCCTCTTTTCTTCTCATGTATTTTCTCTTTCTCAACAAAAAAACAAAAAACAAACAAAAACAAACCTTAAAATAAAAACCAATTACTCAAGTTTTTTATAAGGTTAACTTAATTATCAAATTGGAGCAGCTTTGTTTTTCCACAATATCTGAATGTGTATATACATAATGGTGCTGTATTAAAATCTAACCCTTTGCAAAGGTTGTAAAGTATGCTATCATAGATCGTATACAGGTCTGTATCAGTGTCATCTTTCATTCACTCATATATTTATTAAACAAATATTTATTGAGTGCTTCCTATGCACCAGGCATTATTTTAGATACTGGGGATACAATGATCAACAGGATACATAAAAAATTCTTACTTTTTTTGCATTTCTTTTTTAATTTTTAAAATTTTAATTTTTTATTTTATGTTTAGAGAGAGAGAAAGTGTGCATGTGTGTAAATTGGGGAAGGGCAGAGTGAGAGGGAAAGAGAGAATCTTAAGCAGGCTCCACGCCCAGTGCAGAGCCTGACCCAGTACAGGAACCCAAGCCTGAGGTCAATACCTGAGCTGAAATCAAGAGTTAGATGCTTAACTGACTGAACCACCCAGTCGCCCCCAAAATTCTTACTTCTGCAGGGTGTGACAGACTGTGTGCATGTGTGTGAATTACTATGAGGAAAACTAAAACAGAGGAAGGAGAAGAGGAATGAGGGGGAGTTGCAACTATAAATAGAGTCATCAAGGATGGCCTCACGCAGGTGACTTGTTATAAAGGGCGTGAGGAAGGTAAAAGAGTCTTGGGGAAAGAGTACTTCAGAAAGAGTGGACAGCAAGTGCTAAGTCCTGAGGCTGAGGCATGTTTCCCGCCATCCAGGAACTATCAGACCAATGTGACTAGAGTAGAGTGAGCAAGAAGGAGAACAGACACTAGTTCCTGTGAGGCCTCTGGTCTTGTAGGCTATTGCAAGGGCTTGGTCTTGTACTTAGAGTGTGCAAAGAAGCCAGGGAGAGTTTCAGATAAAGATGTGACATGATCTGGCTTATGTTTTAAGAGGACATGTTGCTACTCATGCTCTCATGAGACTAAACTTAGTGAGGAAGGGCAGAAATAAGGATACCAATTAGGAGGCTATTGTGATAACCTAGATGAAGGATGGTAACTAGAGTGGTTATGTTTTGAAGGTGGAGTGGAAAAGATGTCTTGAGTGACAGAATGTGAGATGTGAGTGAGAGAAGGCAGTGGTGAATTGCAGGGTTATTTATTGACTTGTGCAGCTTGAGGGCTAGAGTTGTATTAAGTATAGGGAAACACTCATTTGGGGGGAAAGATCAGGAGTGCAGTTTTGGAGAGCCCAGCTGGCAGTTGGATATACTACTCTGGGTTTCAGGGCAGAGGTTCTGGACTGGAGGTAGACACTTGGGAGTTGTCAGAGTATAGAGACTGGATGAAATCCACAAGTGAGTGTAGGTAGAGAAGGAATGAGGTTCAGGACCCTGGGCTACACTGAGGTTGTGAGATGAGATGGAACCAGTAAAGGAGAATGAGAAAAAGCAGCTAATGAGGAGAGTGTGGTGTCTCATGAGCCAAGTGAAGAACCTGTGTGAAGGGCAGCGAATCAGATACTTCCAAGATGAGGGTCCAGAATTGACTGAGGAAGTTAGCAATGGGGATGTCACTGGTGAGTTTGACAATAGCAATTTTACTGGAGTCATAGGGACCAAAAATTGGTGAGGATTCAAGAGAGACCAGGAATAGAGAAATGGAAACATAAAATGTGGACAAATATCTTAAGGATTTTTGCTGCAAAGGGAAGGTGAGAAATATAGCTGAATGGAAAAGTGAGGTCAAGAGAGGTTTTAAAATGGGGAAAATAGCAGTATGTTTGCTGGTATAGGAAAGAGGAAAAAAAAGGAATGAGCTTTCATGTAGTAGCATAATTCTCATCCAGAAGAATGTTGGTTTTGTTTGAAACAGCTAAAATCATTTAGTTTACTATTGTAAACACTAACTCTTGTTAATGCAGTTTGTATTTTCAACATAAAAAGTTCTTTCTTGTCGTATCCATCAAACATCAAATTTTCTTTTCTGAGCCCTTAAATAAATGATGTCTTGATATGGATAGTTTCTGTTCATCTTATTTAGCCTAATGTAGTCCTTAGTTCTGCACTTAGGTTATCACAATAGCCTCCTAATTGGTATCCTTATTTCTGCCCTTCCTCACTAAGTTTAGTCTCATGAGAGCATGAGTAGCAACATGTCCTCTTAAAACATAAGCCAGATCATGTCACATCTTTATCTGAAACTCTCCCTGGCTTCTTTGCACACTCTAAGTCCTTAGTTCTACATGGGCCTGAGGTACACTCAATTCACACTTTCTTCAGTAGCTGATGACTTTTTATATTTTTAAAGACTTTATGTTTTAAGAGCAATTTTAAGTTCACAGCATAATTGAGAAGAAGGTACAGAGATTTCCCATTTATCCCCTGCCCCTGCCATTCATAGCACCCCCTATTATCAACATTGCCCATTGAGGGGGACATTTGTTTTAATTGATGAACCCACACTGACACATGATAATCACCCAAAGTCCATACTTACAGTAGGTTTTCACTCTTGGTTTTCTGCATTCTGTGGGTTGGGACAAATGTAATATAATATGTATCCTTCATTATCATAATAGACAGAATATTTTCACTGCCCTAAAAAGCCCTCTGTACCCTGCCTATTCATCCTTCCCCACTGTTACAGCTCCTGGCAGCTGATCTTTTTATTGTCTCTATAGTTTTGCATTTTCCAGAATGTCATACAATTAGAATCATGAAGTGTATAGCCTTTTCACTTAGTAATATGACTTAAGCTTCCTCCATGTTTTTTCATGGCTTGATAACTTACTTCTTTTTAGTGCTGAATAATATCCCACTGTCTAGATATACCATAATTTATCTGTTCACCTACCGAAGGATGTCTTGTTTACTTGCAAGTTTTGGCAATTATGAATAAAGCAGATGAAAACATTTGTATGTAGGCTTTTGTGTGGATATAATTCCTTTGGGTAAATACCAAGGAGCATGATTGCTCGTTCTTATGTTAAGAGTATGTTTAGTTTTGTAAGAAAATGCCAAATTGTCCTCCCAAGTGGCTGTACCATTTTGCATTCCCACCAGCAATGAATGAGAGTTCAGAGATACTACTTCTGAGCTTATTTTTTTTTCCCCTTAGGTTTTGCTTCTGTTGTCTTCCTACTTTCTCTTATTTCAGTATTGAATCCTCTCTAGCAGGAACTTTTTGACTCTCAGAACATACTGCATTTCAGTATCTTCTGCCTTCCAACCTTTGCATTTTTATTGATCTCTGCATAAAGGCTACTGGCTTCTAGGTATTTGTTTAGTAATTAGGTAGCTGAAGAGACTCTAGGCACATTTCATTTGCATGAATGGCCCGATTTTTGGGTCTTATTTAAATCCCAAGGCACCACATACTGATATAAACTTCTCAGATGGCTCTGGAATTGAAGAGGTACTTATCAAAGATAATTTTTTTGTTTCTTTGGTTGAGGAAGAGTTTGAAGTTAATTATATATAAACTCTGAAAATCACTTAAGTTTTGCATTTAGTTTCTGCTATAATTTAGATCATATATCTTGTCCTGATTGTAATTTTCATGAGGCCTATTTTTTAAGATCAGCTATATCAGTGCTGTCTAATGGAAATATAATGCAAGTTTTATATATAATTTTAAATTAAAAATTTTTCTGGTAACTGCCTTAAGCAAGTAAAAAGAAACAAGTGAAATTAATTTAAATAATGTGTTTTTACTTAACATATCATCGAAAATATTGTCATTTCAATATGTAATTGTTACAAAAATTATTGAGATGATTTATATCCTTTTTTCATCCTCAGTCTTAGAAATTTGTTGTGTATTTTATATTCATAGCATATCTGACATAACTAACCATATAACTTTAACAGTAATGTGTTGATATTCACAAAGAGTAATGAAATAAAGAGACAAAACTGCACTTATTCTACCTCCAACTACTCTGCCTATAGATCTGCACTGTCTAATGTGGCAGTCACTTAGGGCCATTTGACGCCTGAAATATGTCAGATATGCTATGAATACAAAATACACAGCAAATTTCTAAGACTGAGGATGAAAAAAAGAATACAAATTATTTCAGTAATTTTTATGACAATTACATATTGAAATGACAGTATTTTAGATGATATGTTAACTATTGGTTAATTAATGTAGGATGGATTTTTTTACATTAATTTAAAAATCTACCCTAAAAACAAATAGGTGATTGTATGGAAAACAGATAATTATAAATATGCAGAAAAACCACTAAGGTGTGATTGATTTTAGCAGTGGCTAGCATAAATTAAAAATGGCTGACATGATAATAAGTTTTAGCAAAATTATTTAAAATAATTTGCTTCTTCAGATAACTTCTGAGTAAGTAGTTATAACAGCAACATCATTAAGAGTTTTAAAAGATGAGAAGCACCATCCCAAACATACTCACATCCATTTTCATTTGATCCCACAACCCCCCCCCCCCCAACACCAATAAGGTAGGTAGGTACCATCATGACTCATGTTTTTACAGATGGGGAACCTAAGGCCAGAGAGGTTTAGTAATTTGCTCCAGGTTACACAGTGGGTAAATTGAGGATTCAGGATTTGAACTATAGACAGTCTGATTCTAGAGCTTACTTTCTTAAAGTCTGAACCTAAGGGGAAAAAATAAGCTGAGAAGTAGTACCTCTGAACTCTCATTCATTGCTGGTGGGAATGCAAAATGGTACAGCCACATGGGAGGACAATTTGAAGATGCATCTTTAAATTATATGATTGAGGAGTAAAGAGTAGAGATTACTTGCTTTGTGAAATGAATATGTTCTAGAAATTTGAGCACAAATTAACTCTAAATAAATCACATTCTGTTTGCCATTAATTTGTCTTAATTTGAGGGTTGCTTTATCTTGATTTCTGACTGATCTTCAGTTAAAACGGAGCCTTAACACTTTATTATTCTGTCATCAACAGTTGATATTCATCAACTCTGACTTGGGGGAAAAACAGCTAATAATATGTAAGGTAAACCTTTAGTGTAAGAGAGAACTAGAGTTTGCAGCTTGATTGGGGAGATAAGGTTCTAATACTGATGAAATATTAAAACTTATTGAGAGAAATCCAGTAACAGCAGCAACAACCATTTATTGAGTGATTACTATATGCTAAGCATTGTGCTAATAAGACTTTGCACGTATTATCTTAATCATTAAAATGATACTGTAATGAATGTTTTTCTCTTCCTCAGTAAGTTACATAAGTGCCAAAAGCAGTACCACTGCAGTTCAAAACAATTAGATTCTGTGAGAATTACTGTATTTGATTCTGGGGATCATATTTTAAGACAGACACTAACAATGAAAAGGCAGTTAGGTAGCTGAGTGGTAGGTGAGTGATCAGAAAATAATGTGATGTTTAGGAGAGGTTGTAGAAACTGTAATCTTTAACCTAAGGAAAGAAGACTTAGTGGATAGTTAGTTGTCTTTAAGCATGTGGGACAATGAATGTGATCTGAAGAGAAACATGACTATGGGAAAGGAATACACTTTTCTGTCTTTCTGCAAAGAATACAGAAGAGAAATGAACAAAATAACAGATTTTTATTTCTGAATAAGAAAGAACTTTCTCAAGGAATGGCTTGACAACTAAACCAACTTCCTGTTCAGATGTGTTTGGATACAGACTAGGTCCTTACCTGTATATTTTAAATTGAATGCTTATATTTGGAAAATTTGGACTATAGGAATTGACCATTGGATGAGTTGTCCAGTTCTTCAAATGAAAGACCCTTCAAAGTTCTTTCCATTCTTGGGAATTTGTGATTTTGTCATCAATTATGTTCTGAAATCAGATACTTTTGTAATATAAATAATTATCTCGGTGTGTATATTAAATTGGAGATTGTGATTTAATAAGAATGTCAGAGCTAAGTAGGATGAAATCTTGTAGTCTCACCTCATTTTGCAAATGGGGAAACAGAGAAAGTTAGAGAAAATAAAGCTCTAGTTGGACAAATAGGTATTGACTTCAGTTCCAATGCTTTTTTTTGGTTACCATTACTAATGTATAGGTAGACTAAATCACTTACAGCACATTTTTAAAGGTCCCTTTTAATCTTATCCAGAGCTAACAGAATGAAGCAACTGTCAGTTCATTTTTTTAATTAAAATAATTTTAAAAAATGTTTATTTATCTTGGGGGGGGAGAGCACGTGTGCACGAGCGGGGGAGGGGAAGAGAGAGAGAGGGAGACACAGAATCTGAAGCAGGCTCCAGGCTCTGAGCTGTCAGCACAGAGACTGATGTGGGGCCTGAACTTGGGAACAGCGAGTTCATGATCTGAGCTGAAGTCAGATGCTTAACTGACTGAGCCCCCCAGGTGCTCCTAGTTCATTTTGTTCTAAGCAGGACACACTTGAGTCCATTTTGTTGTTGTTATCTCATCCGAACTTGGAGCTCAGTGATTTTCCTAAAAACAAATTTCTGTTTCTTCATGGTGTTTTATTTCCTTGAAGATATATGTATGTTCACACTGAATGCAGAAGAAAGGTACAGTGGCTCTGAGAATGTGTTGTTCATTCAACAAATATTTATTGAA